AACTATAACACATTCTCTCCTTTTTTTTTTTTTTTTTCTTTTGTAGGATAGGGATGCACAGCAGAATCTGGGGATTAGACAGAGGAGGCAGGAGAGGAGCACTGAAGGTGACTCTGACACATCACTGCCTGTGCTGGGATCCTATCCCATAGATAAGGTAAATGAAGTCCATCGTTCTATGTACTTACAAGCAGAAGACTAGAACTGTTTGGTAATGTATCAAACTTGACATGTAGGTGAGAATAACAGTGGAATATTATTTGTCCCTGGAGTTCCCTCTAAAAAAACGTTTATGCTTATTTTCAGGATGCAAAAATAATACAAGCTAATCGCAGAAAGATTAAAAAGTCTGAAGTAACTTTAAAAATCTGAAAACTTTTAAAGTTGTATTAATCAGTAAATTCTTGTGAGTCTATGTCAAAATTGTATCATATCTTTTGAATTTAGCAAAAGCACAGCAGCTGCCATTTCAATTATCAGCCTTTATGCTATAATGGCCTAAAATAACTGTGTACCATGCAGAGGCATACATACTCAGAATTTCCTCTTTTTTTTTTTTTTTTTTTTTTTTTAAGAGAGAAAGAGGAAGAGAAAGATGGAGAGAGAACAGGAGTCTTGCTTTATTGCCCAGGCTAGAATGCAGTCTAAAAAATGGGTATTGAAAACCTCTTTTATACCAATAATTGTGCTTAACAATGGAGACAGGAAAAAATAAGGAAGGAAAATAACAAACAAGCAGCCAACCAGTATTTCATTTAAACCTGTGAAATGTTATGCAATTACTGAGGAGTCATTTACTTCCAATTACGTAGTCACTTTTAGAGTAGGTGTGATGTGGTACTGAGAAGAATGTATGTTTTGTGGATTTGGGGTGGAGAGTTCTATAAATGTTTATTAAGTTTACTTGTTCCGGGTCTGAGTTCAAGTCCTAGATATCGTTGTTAATTTTCTGTCTTGTTGATCTGTCTAATATTGACAATGTGATGCTAAAGTCTCCCACTATTGTTGTGTGGGAGTCTAGTCTCTTTTTAAGTCATTAAGAACTTGCCTTATGTATCTGGGTGCTCCTGTATTAGGTGTGTATATATTTAGGATCGTTAGCTCTTCTTGTTGCATCGATCCTTTTACCATTATGTAATGTTCTTCTTTGCCTTTTTTGATCTTTGTTGCTTTAAAATCTATTTTATCAGAGGCAAGAATTGCAACTCCTGCTTTTTATTTTATTTTATTTTTTGCTCTCCATTTGGTTGGTAAATCTTCCTCCATCCCTTTGTTTTGAGACTTTGTGTATCCTTGCATGTAAGATGGGTCTGGATGCAGCATACCAATGGGTTTTGGCTTTTTATCAAAAATTTTTGTATTTTTAGTAGAGACAGGGTTTCACCATGTTGGCCAGGATGGTCTCAATCTCTTGACCTCATGATCCCCCCGCCTCGGCCTCCCAAAGTGCTGGGATTATAGGTGTGAGCCACCGCGCCCGGCCACACTTTGTTATTTTTAATTTAAATGATGAGTCATTGATAAATAAAACAGTAAATCTCTCCTTTTTGTATCAATAACACATGCCTATTGTTTTCTTCTATTTTTGTTTACAATCCTAGCCCAACTTTTAGGTTAGGGCTCCCCATTATTTTTTACTGAAAGCATTTATGTAACTTCCTATAACCCCGACACCACTCAGGGCATTTGATTATAGCAAGTGAGGTTAACTAAGTCTAAAAGCCAAGCAAACTTAAACTTAGTTAACCTCATTTGCTTCACAGGAGCATTTAATTGCATTTACCTAATTTAAAAGATGTGGGTAGCCCATGAGCAGTTCTACGTGCGAGAGAAATTTTCACACTTTAAGGCTATGTCAGGACCAGAGAATGAATTTATGACACAATCAAATTGAAACAAAATGACACAATCACATCAAAACAAAAAACAAGTTTGTTTTTTGGTTCTTCTTTTCAAAAAGATAAAACACAGTAAGAGGGCCTCAAAGGTGATTTCCTGCTGCTCTCATCAGCATATTTGCAATGGTGGCACACTGGAAGCCTTACATTTCTTCAGTCTGATGTAATTTTGGCCACAGTACTTTCAGACTTTGGTAATTTGCTTGTTTTAAGAGAAATAATAGAGAATTTTAATTAATTAATTAATTTATTTATTTTTGAGACGGAGTCTTGCTCTGTCACCAGGCTGGAGTGCAGTGGCGCAATCTCGGCTGACTGCAACCTCCGACTCCTGGGTTCAAGTGATTCTTGTGCCTCAGCCTCCCGAGTAGCTGGGACCCCAGGCGTGTGCCACCACACCCGGCTAATTTTTGTATTTTTAGTAGAGATGGGGTTTCACCATGTTGGCCAGGATGGTCTCAATCTCTTGACCTTGTGATCCGCCCGTCTCGGCCTCCCAAAGTGCAGGATTACAGGCATGAGAATATTTTTTATAAACCTTTTCCTGAAATATCTAGTACCTTCACTGCATAATTAAAATTCCTACTGTTTCTTTAACAGTAAAGACATTTTCATTATCCAAGAATGGTGTTCATGTTTTTCTAGAAAAGCTATCATTACTCTATTTGTTTAAACTTTGATCTTGAATAAGAACAAAACAAGTAAAATCTGTAGTAAAATTGTAAAACAATCTCTTTATTAAAAAATAATCATTTTAAAGGTGTTCTACAAACAGAAACAATAATAAAGCCCATATTACAAATTATTTTGCCTGATTTAGATATGAGTGACTTAAAATTGCTACTTTTGCAAGTGTCCCCTGGTGATTTTCTGAAAACGTAATAAATTGAAAGTACAGAAATAAAGAGTCACATTTCTTTTGGGCACTGGCCCTATTTAAGCTTTTAGAAATTTTCTCAGCCTTTTGTCAGTTTTCAAATTAAAGACTGGAAACTCCAATTCTGATAATATCCTTCTATTGTACGAGTCCACTGGCATAATCAGATTGCAGGTTTTATCTTCCACCTGCTCTCAAGTTCATCAGCTGAGAGAAGGTACCCTGGCTGTCTCTTCCAGAGAAGAAATAATAAATGTTGATGATTAACAAAATTGCAGCCCATATGGGAATCTGCCTCACTTGTAAATGCACCCTTCTTTCCCTACAGTTACCATACTTAGTTATACATAGCTCCGATAAAGTTCAAAACTTACCCCACCCACGGAACCTCTTTATCAGGTGGCATCAATGTCATTTTATTGCCAGTGAAACTGATTCACAAACAAGCAACTCTCCTGAACTCAAGGACAGAACACAGACAAATGAGGGGCTTCTGCTCATTTCCATCACCAGAATTTGGTTTCCATGCAAAGAAGTAGGCCACTGTGATCTCAGCCAGGCCAAGTTTTCTCCTCCTTCCTCTATCCTCGGTCTTCTTTCTCCTTCACTGCAAATGTCCTCAACCTCTGGGCCATGGACTGGCAGTGGTTCATGGATTGTTAAGAACCCAGCAGCAAAGCAGGAGGTGAGCCCAGGGCCAGCAAGGGAAGCTTCATTTGTATTTACAGTTGCTTCCCATCACCTGTGTTACTGCCTGAGCTCTGTCTCCTGTCAGATCACTGGGGCATTCGATTCTCATAGGACTGGAACCCTGCAAATGGGAAGGATCTAGGTTGCAAGTTTCTTATGAGAATCTAATGCCTGATGATCTGTCACTGTCTCCCATGATCCCCAGATGTACCTGTCTAGTTGCATGAAAACAAGCTCAGGGCTTCCACTGATTCTATGCTATGGTGAGTTGTATAATTATCTCATTACATATTACGATGCAATAATAATAGAAATAAAATGCACAATAAATGAAATGGGATTGAACCATCCTGAAATCATACCCCGCTGCCCCTACTCTAGTTTGTGGAAAAAGTCTTCCATGAAACTGGTCCCTGGTGGGGGACCACTGGTCTCTACAGGATCTATCCTCGATCCTTTTTTTTTTTTTTTTTTTTTTTTTTTACCTAGGCTGTAGTACAGGCTGGAGTACAATGGTGAGATCTTGGCTCACTGCAGCCCCTGACTCCTTGGTTCAAGTGATTCTCCTGCGTCAGCCTCCTGGGTAGTGGGACTACAGGTGTCTGCCACCACCTCCGGCTAATTTTTATATTTTTAGTAGAGACCGGGTTTCACTATGTTGGTCAGGCTGGTCTTGAACTCCTGACCTCAGGTTATTCACCCACCTCAGCCTACCAAAGTGCTGGGATTATAGGCGTGAGCCATTGCGCCCGGCCAGGTCTGTCCTCTCCTGACGCCTACTGTCCTTAGGCTCATTCTGAACCTTTTCCCTCAGGCAGAAAAGTAGCATTACCTTATTCACTCTAAGCTATAAAGGACTCCTGAGAGTTTCCCATTTCATCATGTACCAGCTTTTACTTGTGAACTCTGGAAGTCCCTTCCGGTGCAAGCGGCAGGAGAAGAAGCGACTGGATTGCTTTGCTGGGTGTGAGGCGAGGGCAACCTGGAGCAAGTTCAAATCTGGCCTCTGTGGGAAGCGGAGGTTGCAGTGAGCCGAGGTCGCGCAACTGCACTCCAGCATGGGCGACAGAGCGAGACTCCGTCTCAAAAAAAAAAAAAAAAAAAAAAAAAAAAATCCCATTTCTGTTTTTGCTCGTCACACTCCACCATGCTCTGGGCCTCAGTTTACTTATGTGTAAGGGGGCCTGCGATGAGGAGAGGAGCTTGCGCATGCCAAGCACCTAGCTTGCTTGGTATCCTTGGAGTCACCTAAAGATTAGTTCAATCCCTCGCCTGCCCCCGCCGCGGGACAACACTCATTTGGGGGAAAACTCTCCCTCAACGCTGAAGTGATCCAGTTTCCCTCTTTTCTCTAGCTCGCCAGTCGGGCTCTCTGGTGAGGCCACTGGTTTGGGAAGGCGCGGCACGCGTGGGTGCACCGCGCACCAAACCCCGCCAGAGAACCGAGCGAGGCGACCGGGGGCTGGGTGCCTCCAGCGAAAGGCGGCAGCGTCACCTCGGGAGGAAGGAAGGGGCGGGAGCTGGGCGGGCGCTCCGAGCCTGAAAACCTCCGCACCTTCGCTGCGGGCAGCACTGAGGCCCCGGGCGCCCAAGGACGCGCTCTGCAGCCAGTGGGAGGGGACGCCGTGTGCTCGGGAGAATCGGCGGCCCGCAGTCCCTGGTCGCGGGCTCCGTCCCCCGCATCCCCCGGCTCACACCTGCCCGCGCGGAGGAGCAGCAGCGGGGCGCGCTCTGAGCTGGGAAAGCCCAACAGCTCAGGAGAGTTCCCGGACTCCCCAGCCCCAGGTACCCTTGAGGCGACGGGCTGGGGATGAGGTGGGGACTGGCTCTTTTCTGTTCCTCCTGCGGAGACAGCAGCTTTGTCCGGGAGGTTTTCGGGGTGTCGGATAGGAAGTCACCCCCCGCCGCTCCTGCCGACCTTGCTGGCTGGCACAAGCTCATGATATGCTAAGCAAAGCCTGCAAAAATTATAGACGGCAGCTCTCTGCTTCTTAAAATATGAGAATATTGACATAAATGAGGAAATATTGGAGGTGGTGGTGTGTTTTCTCTGTACTTTAGTGTTCTTTGCAACGTTTTTCTAATCAGGAAACAACAAAAATGCCATTTATGCAGTGTGGCTCCAGAGCAGCTGTGCGTGACACCCCCCCCCCCCCTTGCCACCTGCCACGGCCCCACGCTCTCTGCGGCCGAGCAAGACCTTTCTGTGGGGCCCTGGGCTCCCCCGAGCTCCAAGATCCTTGGACCTAGACCTGACTTCTTGCTTCAGTCTGGTTCATGAGAGAAATACATTCATCCGTTGTTTTCTGGGACTTTCCCCAGATTTCAGATGAAAGGTGTAATTTACCCAATCCTCTGAGCCAAAATCCACACTGAGCCTCACTGCGGATGTCCGCAGCGACCGGGAAGTGGCGTCAGGCAAATCAGGGAGAGTGAGGGAAGGAAAATCTCATGCCTGAAAAACACCGATCTTTCCTAAGGGTTTCCTCCTGCTGTGTTTGGTTTTCACATTTTGTTGTTGTCGTTGTTCTTTGTTTTTGCAAGACCTGTGGCTTTAGTATTACTGTTGCCGAACAGCTGTGCCAGAGTTCACAAATGTCTTCAGAGCCACACTTCAGGGTGATCCTGTTGAGCAGGGTTGGGCAGGAGGATAACTTGGTCTTTTGCTCTGTTCCAAGTTTCTGTTCCCCTCCTGTGTGCTCAGTATTTGGTGTTCACTAGGGACAAAAGCCTCGAAACTTCCTACTTGCAACCACCCAAAGACATAACTCTTTCTTGAGAATATATTCAGAAGGAACTGGGAGAGGCGGGTGGGGGAGAAACGAAAGTAAAAATGTTCACCATCCAAAGCAGACTCCATTAGTGTAGTCGATTTTGTTTTAAAAATAGACTTCTTAAAGCATGAGAAATCTTGTTGGCATGCATGACCACCCAGGGGTGCCAAGCTTTCTGTTAAACTGCTTAGACACCTGGCTTCTTTTAGCGAAAATATCTCTGTATGTCTTTTTGTTTATGACATTTTAAGGCCAAACATCCTTCTGCAAAGTAAAGGTAGTATGTCTCTTCACTGGCTTTGCAGGACCTTAGGGTGTGTGTGTGCACGTGTGTGTGTGTGGGTGTGCGTGTGCATGTGGATGTGTGTGTGTGGAGCTACAGGGAGGGTAGCAGAAATGGAAGTGCTGTTTTTACACCTCTACACGTATCCATTCTTCTTTCCCTAGAGAGGAGTCAGAAGCGTTGCCCTGAATCTAACCGTTCTCTTCCCAGCTCTAAGCCTCCCAGGTTAAGTGTCTACATACTGATGTCTAGCACAGAAGAGCTGGACACTCAAGAATGCAGCATCCATGCCTTCTGTATTAAGCTTTTAGAGACAGAGTTCCCGACTGCATTATTTCTTTTTATTTGAATATTTTTTGTAGTTCCTTTGTTAACACAGATCTGTTTGTCAGATACTAATCACTGTTTTACTTTTCCATATCAGATAATACAGTTTACCCCTTTAATGATACTTTGCTAATTTCTAACCACAGTCAATTTCATAAAAATCAGATGGTTGGTGACTTTGTAAAGAAAGTATTTGCTAAGTGTTTGAATAACCAATGCTTTCCATGTCCATATTTTGTATCACATGCATTGAAGTGCACATGGTATAAAATTCCAAAGGTACAGATAGTGCAGTGGCAAGTCTATCCCTTTCCTATCCTGGGCCCCCAGTTTCTGTCTCCAGAGGTAACCTTTGTTACCACTATATAAAATCATCGTTCCTCTCTTTCTTTGATAACTTAAGACAAACAGATTTTAAAATGCTGTTTTGAGCAAATGTGCACCAGTGATTTTTTTTTAATCTCACAATTTTAAGTACATTGTTTTAGTTATTTGTTAGCTTTTGTCTTTCCTGTTTTTCTGCTGACCACTCTGAAATGCAGGATATTCAGGCCACTTTGTAGAGGGACCTTGTGGCTTTGGAGTTAAACAAATAGATTTGTTTCTAAGTTCCTTGAGGTTAGAGATCAAGATAGTCTTCAAACAACCTGCCACAATTACCAATGAGTACTAGGTCCATGCTAACATTTATACACCCAGGCTTAAGGATAACTGATATTCACAGTAACCTGGTGCTTCAGAGCCTGTTCCTCCTATGAGGTAGCACTAATGGCGTATTTCCCACCCCAGTATTAGATTCTCATTTGGTGCCTTGCTGCTTGTAGCCCATACACCTTTATATCCCCCTTCTCTACAGGTTAACTGCTAAAGTTTGTGAAGTAACTTGTAACCAGGGAGGCAGTGTTTGTATCGGTTAAGAGAGGGTGCATTAGAGTTTGAATCCTGTCTTTGACATTGGATTTGTGATCTGGACTAGTTTTCAAACTCTCTTGAGATTCAGCACCCTCATCAGTGAAGCAGTAATTCACAGGGTTATTTTGAAGAACAGATGACCTGTTGTCACCAAAAAGCAGCTTAGTTGCCCACTACATGCAGAGTCCAATTAACAAGAGTGAGGTCTGGCACACAAAAAAGGGAATTCCTAAGTGAGCCTGGAGAAGGGGACACAAAATGTCCTTCTATTTTTCCACATGCAGAATGTGCCGCTTCACTTTTGGAGCAGAAAGTGGACACTTTTATAAAGTAGGGTGGGAAGTGAGCCAGAACAGGGGGTCCCCCACTTGCCTGGTGCCTTATCTACCAGACAGTAGAGTTGGCTCCTTCCTGGGAAGAAATAGAAGTTATATAAGTGGCCAAGTGGGCATGCTTTTGCCATGCTCTTGTAATAGGTGTGAGTTCTGAAGCCACCCCCTGGAGGTGAGAGTTCTGTGGGAGCATGCTTTGGTCTACAAATCAACTGTCAACTCTCCAGGAGAGATCAAAGTCGAGATCGTCTTGGGGCACATAGTTAGATATACTTGCCTGCAGGGAGCCAGTCCTAGATCACCCGTGGGTACCCCATGCTCAGCGGTGACAAAGGAATGAGAAAAAGACAGATTAAGAGTGCAAAGAGTGGGACCAGGGAGCCATTACGTGTTACTTTGGAGGAGGCAGTGAAGGCCCTGAACTCTGATCATCCACACTGTTATTGGTTACAGTCACTTTGATCTACAGGGTAGGGGTGGAGTAATAGTGGAGAGTGGGTGATGTGATGGTGGAGTGAATCATTGAGCCAGAACTGGTGTGTCATTCTAAGGAGTGATAACAGTGGCGGTTTGGGAGTTTCACAAAACAAGAACATGTGGTTATCTTTAGCTTATTATTTATGTGCAGCTGATTGAATGTGGGCCTTCCAAGGAGCCTACAAGTCTGGCTACACCATAGTGCTATGAAGGGGTTTTATGTCCTTGCGCACAATGTTTATAGTAACAGAACAAGGTCACCCTGCACCAGAACATGAGGCATGGAGAGGCCTTCCTCCTCAGAGGCCTCCTGCGGCCTTCCACGGTTTGTTGTTCCTTGTTTATGTGTTACTCATAACCAATGTAGGTAGGCACTCTGTAAGTCCTTTCTCCTTTGCTGCTTTTCCCAACACTTGCTCTGTAGAGAATGTCTGGTCAGGAGAGGTGAAGGTTAAATGTGCATTTCTGAAGAGCTAAGGAGGAAGCAGGGCACAGAAAGGGGGAAAGAGAAAATAATTTTAAAAAATTAAATGATTCTTTAGAAAAATGGGGGTACTTTGTTACAATGTGTCAGGGACTTAGCAGTCTTCTGGTAAATGAAAGGTATGTAATAAGTAGTAGGCCTTATTCCTGTCTATATTAGTTTGTTCTCACACTACTAGTAAAGACATACCTGAGACTGAGTAATTTATATAGGAAAGAGATTTGGTGGACTCACAGTACACATGGCTGGCGAGGCCTCACGATCATGGCAGAAGGCAAGGAGGAGCAAGTCATGTCTTACAGGGATGGCAGCAGGCAGAGTTCGTGCAGGCAGACTCCCCCTTATAAAACCATCAGATCTGGTGAAACTTAATCACAGTCACAAGAATAGCATGGGAAAGACCTAGCCCTATGTTTCAGTTACCTCCCGTCAGATCCCTTCCACAATACGTGGGAATTGTGGGAGCTATAATTCAAGATGAGATTGGGGTGGGGACACAGCCAAACCACATCGCTGTCAGGGTTTGCTGTGGTTTTATACCTTCATAAGATAGGTGAATGTATCCATCAGCTCAGTCTCTGTAATGGTGCAGTAACAAATGACCTCAAAAATCTCAGTGCCTTATTGGAAGAAGGGCTGACATTTTGGCTAATATTACCTGTGCTTTATATATCTGTCTTTGGCTCTTCCCTTTGGGACCCAGACAGAGCAGCTCCTTGTGGGAACTGTTGAAGTTTTGACAAGAGAAAGAGAGAAGGGAGAACTATGCAGTGGCTTTTAAGCTTCTGCTTGGAAGTAAGTTTCTGCATCACTTCCATTTGTGTTTCATTGACATGGTTGTTAACAAAGTAGATCATTGTTTTAAAGGGGCAGGTCTGGTAGGGATAGACCTGCAAAAATAGGGTAGCAAATATTTGACAGTAATGCAGTCTGCTTCAGTGTTTGTTGGATGGAGTAACAATTGTGAACTCAGAGATTCATCAAACCCAGGGAACTGATCTACACCAAGGCACTCATAGCCACTGATGTATAAACCAGAATGCCATTTTTTTCCCTAATAGTGAATAATGTATCTGCCCTGGGGATTGAGTATAAGACCCTATATAGGGTAATAGTATAAGCTTTTCTTGTGGTGGATTTGCTCAGAAGACTGAATTATAAAATAATAGCTTATATAAAGCATACAAAACCAAAATTTGGATGTTACCAAAAGCCTATTTAGATCCAGAATATACCACGGTTTTTAATCCAGTTCTCCTTCTGGAATTTTTATTGCCTGAAGTCCAAGAATGAACTAGATGGATGATCCTAAACAAAGCTGGAGATCCCTGACGGATTCTTGCACTTCTTTTTCAGGCTCTTGTTAGTAGCAAATGCTTTTCTTGTTGACTGCTAATGCATCATCCCATGACTTATAATTATCTTTTTATGCTGTCTGCTTCGTGGATAATGGGACTTTATTACCATAATTAAAGTGTCTTCAAATTACAGTGTAAAATGGATTAACCAGTTCTACACATTGTATGTTAATTCTTGCTGACTTTGGTTTCATAGTAAGTTTTACTACCTCAGCACAGGACTCTGAGGATTTTTCTCAATTTTTGTCCTTACAGCTGGACATCTGTGGCCTGCTTGGGTAAAGCAACATGATGCCATAATGTTAAAAAAATATATTATGAAAATAAAATAGAAGATGCATTTTCTTTTTTTTTTTTTTTGAGATGGAGTTTTGCTCTTGTTACCCAGGCTGGAGTGCAATGGTGCGATCTCAGCTCACCGCAACCTCCGCCTCCTGGGTTCAGGCAATTCTCCTGCCTCAGCCTCCTATGTAGCTGGGATTACAGGCACGCACTACCATGCCCAGCTAATTTTTTGTATTTTTAGTAGAGACAGAGTTTCACCATGTTGACCAGGATGTTCTCGATCTCTTGACCTCGTGATCCACCCGCCTCGGCCTCCCAAAGTGCTGGGATTACAGGCTTGAGACATTGCGCCTGGCCAGAAGATGCATTTTCAAATCAATAGAAAAGAAATATTGCTTAGTTATGTCATTTGTTGGATAATTGAATAAACCGAGAGTGATTTTCAGCAGCAGAACTTTGCAAAACAGAAAGGAAAATTGTGTTTTAGAAGTAAATAGCAAGGCTGAGAATGGTGGCTCCTGCCTGTAATCCAGGCACTTTGGGAGACCGAGGTAGGTGGGTTGCCTAAGCTCAGGAGTTCGATGGTAGCCTGGGCATCATGGTGAAACCCCGTCTCTACTAAAATACAAAAAATTAGCCTGGAGTGATGACACACGCTTGTAGCCCCACCTACTTGGGAGGCTGAGGTGGGAAAATTGCTTGAACCTGAGAGGCTGAGGTTGCAGTGAGCCAAGTTCATGTCACTGTCCTCCAGCCTAGCAAGATGCTGTCTCAGAAAAAAAAAAAAAAGAAAAAAGAAAAGAAAAAGTAAATAGCAGCAGGATAGAATGGGAAGGAAAATATTCTGTTTTTGTTTATTTGTTTGTTTACTTGCTTGTTTTTGAGACGGAGTCTCGCTCTGTCGCCAGGCTGGAGTTCGGTGGCGTGACTCTCGGCTCACTGCAATCTCTGCCTCCTGGGTTCAAGCAATTCTCCTGCCTCAGCCTCCCAAGTAGCTGGGACTACAGGTACTTGCCACCACGCCAGGCCAATTTTTATATTTTTAGTAGAGACAGGGTTTCACTATGTTGGCCAGGATGGTCTCGATCTCTTAACCTCGTGATCCGCATGTCTTGGCCTCCCAAAGTGCTGGGATTACAGGCATGAGCCACCACTCCGGACCTGGTTTTTGTTTTTTATATTTCAAACTAGCATAATTTTGATGCCAACATCTAATATAGATGGCAAACAAAAAATAATAAAACTACAAATCAATCTCATTTAAGACTGAAGTTCTCAAAACCCCAAATCAGTATAAGCAGATAGTGACCAGTAGCAGCAGCAAGTGAGAGTCCTTCAAGGACTGCAGCGGCACTCAGTATCTCTCTATGTACTGGTTCACTTACCGCCATGCTAGAGTTTTGGAATTCTATGCAGCTCTTAAAGAATGAGGTACATTTGTATGTGTAAATATGGAGAAATAATCACTCATATATATTATTAATTGGAAAATTGGTTGGGTGTAGTGGCTGCCACCTGTAATCCCAGCACTTTTGGGAGGGCGAGGCAGGTGGATCACCTGAGCTCAAGAGTTTGAGAGCAGCTTGGCCAACATGGTGAAACTCTGTCTCTACTAAAAATACAAAAATTAGCCAGGTGTGGTGATGTGTGTCTGCAATCCCAGTTACTTGGGAGGTTGAGGCAGGAGAATCGCTTGAACCTGGGAGGTAGAGTTTGCGGTGAGCTGAGATCATGCCACTGCACTCCAGGCTTGTCTCGAAAAAAAAAAAAAAAAAAAAAAAAGGAAAAAAAAGAAACAGACAAAAAAAATCAAGTTTCAGAACTAAATAAAGCATGTTTTATAGCATGTTTCTATTTGAGTAAGAATTTTTTTTCTCTCTGTGGAGTAATGTGGGTGTGTGTGTGTGTGTGTGTGTGTGTGTGAGAGAGAGAGAGAGAGAGTGTACACACATAGTTTTATGCTGGTTATGTAAAGAAAATTTCTGTAAGGATAAAAGTAGCTTTTATTGTGGTTATACTCTAGGAGAGGAAGACAAAGAGTTCAGGTAGGGGAGAGATACTTGTTTTTTAAAATCCTTTGTTAGTGTTTGAATTTAAAAATCATGTGCATATACTTTTAAAATATTAAATTTGTTTTAAAATGACATTATATGTTGAAGTAACTTGACAAAAATTTTGGTAGCTCTCTCTCCATCCTGTTACACTGCTTTTAAATACTCAACTGATTATCAAAGCAGGTGGAGGGCACCTCGGACCATTGGCTCTCGAGGGGCGTGGTTAACAACAGTTAGATTGTGCAATTTGTAGCTAAGGAGAGTTTTGTCCATCCAGTCACTGGGCACCACTGACGAAAATGAGTAATTCTATTACCAGTGCAAGCCGTGATATTTAGAACCACCTCATGGCGACTTATATTCTTAAAAGTCTGTAATGTCTAACATTTGAAATTATAGAATAAAATAACCATTTAAAGCATTTACTAGTTTTAATTGTTTACCTGTTAGAAATCAAAGTGGATATAAAGAGGAGATAAGGGAGAAATGTTGCAATTGTCTGTTTATAAGTATTAAGTTTCTTTAATCAGGTTTCACAATTCATAATATATTTAATTGTAATCCAGTTAATAAACTGTAGGGTTTCTTTATGTGTATATCCTCTGCGGGTATTCAAACCAAAGGAATTCTTTATTTCCTAATTTTCTTTTTAAAGTACACCTCTCATATTTTCTCTGGGCTCAAGTCACTCTATTTAAGTGAGGGAGGAACTGAAGTTTCTTTATGCTTCCCTCAAATCATTTTATTATCAAAAAGCATTCTTTGTTATTTTCTGCATTTTATGTATGGTCTTATAGTCAAACTAGAAATGAAAAAGATAGGAAAGATGAGTGCAGTGATTTTTTAGGTCTTAGTGTAAGATTTCACATATCGGCTAGTTCACTGAAAACAATATTATCTATTGTTTTCCTTAAGTCCAAATAAATTGCCTATCAGGTGATGTTCATCAAAGCATTAGAATCAAAGTTCTCGATGCTTCATGTATAAGCAGAAACTAACATGGTAATTTAATTATTGCAGGTGCGCCTTGTGCACATCATGTCCAGTTTTGAAGATGCGGACACAGAAGAGACGATAACCTGTCTCCAGGTAACGGTTTACCATCCCGGCCAGTTGCAAAGTGGAATATTTCAGTCAATAAGGTTTTGTAACAGAGACAAACTCTCTTCCAGTGAAGTGGTGAAATTTGGCCGAAATTCCAACATCTGTCATTATACTTTTCAGGACAAACAGGTTTCTCGAGTTCAGTTTTCTCTGCAGCTGTTTAAACAGTTCAACAGCTCAGTTCTCTCCTTTGAAATTAAAAATATGAGTAAAAAGGCCAATCTGATCATGGACAGTAGAGAGCTGGGCTACCTAAATAAAATGGACCTGCCATACAGGTGCATGGTCAGATTTGGAGAGTATCAGTTTCTGATGGAGAAGGAAGATGGAGCATCATTGGAATTTTTTGAGATTCAATTTATTTTATCTCCAAGATCACTCTTGCAAGAAAACTACTGGCCGCCACTGCACAGGCCCATACCCGAGTATGGCGTTTATTTGTGCTCTTCCTCCCAAAGCAGTTATCCTACAGAAATGGATGAAAATGAGTAATGAACACAGAAGGTCTCAGAGAAGAAATGTGAAGGACGAAGAACTCTGTAGATGCTCTACAGACACTACTTATTAAGCATTCGTTAGGGTAGTATGTTATAGTCATCTGTTGTGCTGTGAAATTCCGAATTTCAGTATTATCATTTTGAAGTCTGTAAATTGTGTTAGTCATTAACTTAGTCACCTGTTGTATTCCTGGAGCTACACAAAATTATTTTAACCGCTCATCTGTGAGGATTGATATACAAAAAGATATCCTTTGGGATGAAATAGTATTCTCAGAATAAGGTTATATTATTTTATTTTTCTGCTTGATTTTCATCTGTGTTATGCTTTGTTTTTGTAAGGAACCGACCGTCTCTTGGTTTGGTCACAGTATTTCACAGCAGCCATTTGTTTTCAAGCCAGGGCTCCAGGCAGGTTGTTACTGGTGTCTGTAGCCTGTCAGTACTTGTAGCACCGGAATACTGGAATAGGTTCTAGACCAGCGTCTGTGCGTCACTGTGGTTTTAGTATGGGAGGACTTACTTGAGAAATACTACCTTGCTTTTTTATGACTTCTTTTTACAGAATTGTAGTGTGCTTGCTCCTAAGATGACAGTTCTCTTTGTCTTTCAGCATCTAAGACAAACATTTAAACATTTTAAAGCACCACTGTGTTATGTTTAGAATTATTTACTCACAAAATTAGAAGTTTGATTTTTATGTGTTGTACAAAATTTTAAGATTTCACAAATTTACCTTTTTAATAGTATCCATGTACATAATAAAGTCAAAGTTTAATTAGCCATTTTCTTTGAATTTTTTTCTAAATAAGGGAAAGAACTGTTCTTGGGCCACTTTTCATAGATAAATGTATGTGAAAATGTTTATAATAAATGCTTACATATTTCTAAAATGTCAACTTTACAAAGTATTTTTCAGTTCTTTTTTTTTTTTTTAATTTAAGATACTTATTCAACTCATCTTAACTGAGATAGTGAATGTTGAGTAAATAATGGTAACCATTTAGTTAAGGTAAATTGTAGTATTGCCAGGTAGTAAGGCTTACTGTACAATTTTCCAGGTAAATGAAATTTCCTATAGTAAGAGGTCCATATTTTTGTAACATCCTTTAAAAAATGCTTTTGTGAACTCTCCAGCCTCTTAACAAAACAGGCTTTAAATCTTTTCTTGATTCAGACCATCAGTCTATTCCCCGGCAATAGTATGTGATATCCAGCACCCTAACCCTGACGCCCCAGCCCTGGAACTATCCCAGTAGGGTGAAATATTTGTCCCTATGCAAAGTGGCCTGAATGACTGCTTCAGTTTCTGCGTCTAGTTTTCCTGCTGATTCCCCTTGATGGGCAGAGTAATGATCCATCCAAAGATGTTCAGGTGTCCATGTGATCGTCTCCAGGACTTGTAACTGTGCTGCTATATGGCAAAGGGGAATTAAGGCTGCAGATGCAATTAAAATAGATTATGCTGGATTATCTGGGTGTGCCCAATTGATCACCAGATCCTTAAAAGTGGAAAAGAGGCAGATCAGTATGTCAGAGTGATGAGGTGCGAGATGGACTTGACCTGCTGTTGCTGGGAGGAAGGAGATCGTGAGCCAAGGAATGTGGACAGTCCCTTGAAGCTGGAAAGTGTGCGTTGCACGTCTGGAAGCTGGAAAAGACAAATCCCCAGAAAGGAACAAACTCTTGTGGACACCCTGATTTTGGTCCAGTGAGATATGTTTGACTTGTTAACCTACAGAACTTTATGATGATAAATTTGTGTTTGTCATAAGCGACTGCGGTAATTTGTTACAGCAGCAAATAGAAAACTAATTTACTTCCTTAGTCTAGGATGATCTACTACTGATTTTTTCTAGGATTACAGCTTCCTGTATGATGTGGATTTACAGCCACATCACCCAGCTTCTTTGAATTGCTTACAGTGTGTAGTGTCATGATAAAGCCTTTCTATGGGTGAAGTATACATACTTTAATATGTGCATACTGTCACATTTTGACTATTTTGGAAGACTTTCACCTGTTTCTTGTCTTTGAGGCTGACAAATGTGTTTCTAAGTTATAAACTTAATAATAAAGGATTCATGTATTATTGTTATTGAACCCAAACAATGTGTTAAGTAATATTTAGGGCCAGGAAAATCTCATGCTCATACAGAATAATGATATCTCCTGATGTATATCTTGGAAAGAGTTTTGTTCAACTTGATAAATAGTAATTTTTTTTTCTATTTTTTCTTCTTAAAAAATTGGCAAAGGAGAGAGTGGGTTGCTAAATGTTTATTATTGTTCTCCAAAGAATAAAACACTTTCCATAACCCAACTCCAGTAGTAAATAATAATGAATGCTCCAATAATAAAGGAGCAATAGATTAGTATTGCAGTGCTAAGGGCCCCACAGGGTCGTGGGGTGTCCCTTATGCTGTGCTGAGGCATAGGATCTGAGAAATAAAGAGACAGAACACAGAAGTACAAGGAAAACGCAGCTGGGCTCGGGGCCACACCACCTATAAGCGGAGACAGGTGAAGCCCTGAATGTCCAGAAGTGTGTGTATTTATTGGGTATAGGTTAGGGGGCAGGGTAATGAGTGAAGTCATCTTTAAGGATAGTGATAGGGTTGTGAGCAATAAAACAAGGGGTCCACCCCCATTACGTCACCTAGGCTAGGAGGTCGACAGTATGCAGCAAGGGGTCCACTCCCATTAGGTCACTGAGGCATGGAGGTGGGCCGTGCGCAGTGAAGAATGTGCAGGGTGCAATACCTCTATCTATGGGCATGCTAATTCTAAGAATATAGGAGAATGCATAAGTCATACAGCAGTGACAGAGCTGTCAGGGTCTACCGCCACCTGCTGGCGCTTCCAGTGAGTTCTATATAGGAGGATGCTTTTGAGCTAGCACAGTATGAAGAGCTGATAAAGTTCACAGTCACCAAGGTGCGATTATCCAGAGGGGTTTTGAGCCCTCAGATGCCCGAGAGATTGCTGGTCTGAGGGCAGCCTTCCACAAGAACTGGACGCAAGGTCCCACAACTCCTTTATCAGGAGGAGTGGCTCTTGCCCCAAGCCTGCCATACAGCAGGTATCTTTATGATACCGAACCCTGCCACCTGGGCCATGGATTCTTGTCCTGGTATAACTGTTTTTCCTTTAAATCATGTTCTGCACCGTGTCTGCTGTGGACATTCCTCTGACTATAAGCTGCTTATTCTTTAATTCATGCTCTGTACCATGTCTACTCTAGGCATTCCTCCGATTATAAACTAAGATATAGTTATATGTACATATATATGTGTATATATATGGAAATAACCGAGTAGTAAGATATTCTTTAGGCACTCATTCTATGAACTAATATATGATTATATGTAGAGGATTATATAAAGGGAAATAGTAGTAACACTGTAAACTGAGATACTCTTCAGGCACTAATTGTGCCAGGATTCTGCTTAGCTCTCCTTCCTCAGTGCCTATATGGGGGATTACCCACATAGCATTAGAATTGTTTTTATTACAAAGTCGGCATCTCTGCCAGAACTACACAACCCCAAGGTGGGGTTGTTAGAGGAAAACTGCCATGTTTCACAGAACCTGAGGAAAGAATGCAGCAGACCTCAGGCAGAATTCAAACACCTCCAGCTCTGCCCCTCGATGTGCATGGGCTCCCTGAACACCTGTAGCTCCCAAGTTTTACATGTTATTGATCCCCCAAAGTGACCTGATCTCCTGATTTCAGTTCCAGGGAGGAGTCAGCTTGGGTCAGGTGCCCACCATTTCACCAATCAACTTGTCTCCTGACATATGAGACGTAGTCTCGGTTACCCCCTCTCCTAAAATCTTGTATATTTTCTAACTGTGGCCTGTGATTTTCTTACATGTATGTTCACTTATTATTGTCTTTCTCAGCAGAACGGTAAGCAAAAAGCAGGGACCTTATATGTCTTTGTACTTCTATGTCCCTAACACCCACCAGACACAGTTCCAATAATATTAAAATACTATCCCAATATTTGCTGAATAAGTTATTTCTAGTACTTTTTATAAACACAAAACAAAGTATCTTTTTCTTAACAGTTAAAACACATTTTTAAGTTTAGTTCCATCTTGCTTTCTTAATTTACTTCTTTTTGCCTTCACATCAGATTTAATAAAATAATTATAAGTCAGGGCTCAGAATACCTGTATGTTTATGGAGTAAAATCAACAATAGTCAAAACTCTTTATTACTTTTCAGTGTAAAAATGTGTTTATTCACAACCATTTGTGAATTACCATTTATCATTCCTTCAAAAAAGTCTTTGAACAAAAAGCCAAGAAAAATTACAATAGTAGCTTATGCCAAACCAAAAATATACATCTGATGTATACAAACTTTAAAAAGCATTAACACAGGCAATGTGAATATAGATTACCTTAAAAATATTTCCAAGACACAGCTACAACTTAAATTACGTTAAGACAGATATAAATAATAGCATTACCTAATGTAGTCTATTTACATATTTAAAGTGTCATATTAATTTCTATAACATAAAAAAGGAGATAAAACTACAGATGTTGTTGCTTAGCAGTTCAAATATTGAAAGGGCCACATGATTTTTTTTTTAAGTATAGCAAGAACTTTAGGTTATTATTTATATCGGGACCTTCCTATATTTATAAGAACATGCACTGTCATTGTTTGTTGCAAGAGAAACAAAATTAAAAAACACTAAGGAAAAAACAAAAAAGTTTGCTTACTAAAATCACACTGAATCCTCAGCAAAATCAAGGAAAGCAATTATGGAGTGTTTTCTATCCCTGGCCTTTTATATTGACACATAAATTTTAGAGAAAAGAATAGTTAATTGTCTATCACAAAATGCAGTTATAGATATTGATATGCTTAGTTCTATCCTATTAAAGCACCTTGTACTACAAGGTAAAGGAAAGCTTAATAAAATCAATGGAGGCTTTCATACCAGAAATAATTTTATTTTAAATACCCGTATTATCTTTTTAGATTTTCCTTTCTTAAATAAAGCAGAGAATATGTTCTGTGTAAAATCTATCTAAGATCATTCATTGGAAATATAGAATTTTAAAAAAATAATGGCACCTAAAAACTTAATACTATATATCAATTAACTTAAAGTTAACATGGTGGCATGTAAATTGAAGAGGAAAAACCTAAATATATATATCTTCTTAAATATTATTTTTTATTATTACCAACTTGAAATGTCCAAACTCTGAAGGGTTATTTTTATCATATTATCTTTCGCTCAGATTGAATCAACATTATCATACTAGGACATGTAATAAGTATACAAAGAAACCAATAATTCAGCATTTCTTAGAGTCATCTACTCAAATCAATTGTGCTTACTATTAGATAATAAAATCCAAAGAAGTCATAGAAATAAATAATGCTGGAAACGGGAACAATATTCTAAATCTGAATCTGACAATCCCTCCGCATGCTCCCTTCACATCTGCTGAGAATTAACAAAAAAAGTATCAATATTTTCATAGTTAGACAATGAAATAGGTTTCAAAATCATTCAAATTAAAAAAATTTAAAGTAGAAATCTACCATAGTTAACAGAAATGCTATAAAGAAAAGACTTAAAGTAAATTTCATTAACATGACAGGACCATTAAATTGGTCTTGAAAAGCAGAAGGCAGATGATGAAATTGCACTTAATTCTGAAGCAATTCAGATCCTATCATCCTTACTCCTTTCTAATAAAATAAGCATTTACAACATGGTTTCTTACACGTCTCCCTTACAAAAAGGCTCGGCACAATCATTTATACATTCTAGTTGGTTTTTAACATTTGGTCATAACTGATAAACAAGGTCACACGATTTTACCCTATCGAGTCTGTTGATCTGTATCAGAATGCCTTATGCTAGAATCAGACAGTTCTAATACAGGATTTACAAATCCAGAATACTCGGAA